GGGGGGGGGGGGGGGGGGGGGGGGGGGTAGGTGTGGCCCATTTCAATGGTAGACATTGCGTCGGTCACAAGCAGGCTTTGATTTTTTTGTGGTGTTTCTGGTACTGAAGAACATCCAAGGTTTGTCGGAATTTACAAGTTTCAACCTTGTGAGTCAAGGGCACCAGTACCTGTTGCCCACTTCGTTGGTGACTTTGCATTCATTATTGCCGAGGCGTGGCCGGTACTCGTGTGGTGATGGAAGTCGCCCGTCGTTGATAGAATTGGCACGGCTTGCCATCAGTCCTCCAATCCTTTGGCTTGCTTCCTGCGCCCCTACTCTATCCAGCTCGTGATCAGCCTCCGAGGAATATCCAACGCTAGTTGAAACTATAAAGGCGAGGGTTCTACCCACTTTTGCATCACCCCGATTAAGGGCTCTTCCCTATGCTGTCACCCCGCATACCCGCTTCTCGCCTCTCTTGGGTTTCCATTAAGACACCAATTTGCTGATGCTGCTGTGTATCGTTGACGTTGATCACCGCCGCCGCCAGGCGAAAGGGGTGGACGCTGATCTCCTCCGACTGTATGGTCCGGTCATGTGGAGGTCTCTCCGCGTCGCCAACCCCTCCGTTCGCGCACAGGTGAGCTAGGAGCCTGAACCCTTTGCCACGCTGCGCCTTAACCCTTTCCCACGCTGCGATTGTGGTGCTGTTGTTGGTGGAGGCGATGGTCAGCAATCGGAGAAACACAAGGAAACATACCTAACTCGGTAGCAGCAGGCAGTGATGTCTTGGGCGTTGCCGCTATTAAACCGGTCAGCCTGCCAACATATGAGCATAGGCCACTCTCCGTGTAGGTTCTCGGACCCACTCGAAACGTGTCAGATGTAACGCGGCTTTCCCCGCAGAAGTGTAGAACGGAACGTAAAATGTATTGGTGTGTGCGGTCGTCCTGCTGCTGGGTCGGTTGATCTCCGAGTGGTGAGAGGTCAATGGTTTCTATGGCAGCGGTCATCTCGTTTTCACTCCGTTTTAGTGTGTATGTTTTGCTTGCATTTTTGTGTTCTCCTTGTTGTTCCGCGTTTTTTGGTCAGGCCTGCCAGGTGCTCGTGGACGCCTTCCCTCTGCAAGACCCCTCCGCAGGCAAGCTGTTCTGCGTCACGTTTCAAGTGGCAATCAATGCCGTTTTCCTTGTCCCTCGCACTGAAGGATGGTTTCCCTCTATTTTGCTTCTCCTGTCAAGGCAGTTAGCCACCTTGGTACGAACAATTGTTTCCCCTCACTCCGGCGCAGAATATTAATTGCCCTTCTCACGCAGGGCTACCTCCTTTCCGGTGTGGGTCCGCTTTCCTTTGAACGTGCGTGGTTGGTATCGACGAAGTGGTCTCTAAATCGAGCGGCACAAAACATGCTTGCGTTGTGCAACCAGTCGGTTGTGGGTTTGCTCCACTCAGAATTTATGGTTTTGAAGTGCCAAAGTGTGAAGGTATTTTATGACGGTAGAGTCCCGTGTCAAACACGGATCAGGTGATGCGTTCAGTACCGTGTGGCTTGGGATGACTCGATCGCCAAGTTCGAAATCAAGCCACAGACGTCACGTCGCTCCGAGAAAATGACGCATGTTGCTTCTGTTGCCGTGGGTGTTTCCTCCCCCCCCCGCCTGTCTCTGGCCTTTTCCGCCACGGGTACGTTCACGAGCAGGCGCGGCTGCCTACGACGCCACCCTGCAGCAGCAGTTCGTCGCTCTCACCGATCTGCTTGAAGACGCGCACCCCCAAGTCAGGGCTGTCGCCGGCAAGGTAACCGGAGATGCGCACGTGTAATTTTTTTCATTTTTTGGTATTTTCTCTTTTGCCACTACAGCACGTTCGGGGGCTAATCCACACCCAGCTGCTTTCTGCTTCCTTAAGAGACACGCACATTTTCTCTGCCATAACGCTGGACTTACTCCTTTCGTCTTTGGCCCGCGAATGTAGAATCATCTAGATGCCGCTCCAAAGTTCACCGCCGCCACTCAGCTCTTCTACGCCTCGAGAAAGATTCTGGAGCTTTATTTTCCGGCGATGTAAAATATGTCTCTACAAAAACAGGACAATATCCGGCCAGTGTTGGTATGCTTCAGGAAGTAGCCTTTTGTTTCATACCCTTTAGACCCCGACCTTCACCGACAATGCAATAACCACCACCTGTCTATGTATGCCTTCAATGCCACAACCACCAGGGAGCGTGCCGTGTCCTGAGCGTGTTCTGGGAGATGGTGCCGCTAGACACGACCAGGGCGCTGCTTACGAGGGTGGTGGGGCGGCTGGCAAGCGACGGGTCCTCTCCGGCCGTGAGGCTCGCTGCCGTGGAAGGGCTGTCCGTGCTGCTGGAGTGCCCCGCCAGCCACGCCGTGCTCAAGTCCATGCTGCCTGTGAGCGTTTCGGAGGAGGGGGTTCGTTGTCGTACACGACCGTAGTGCGTCATCGTATTAAGGCCGTTTCATGTACGGTAGAAATCCCTGTTTTCAGTCCACGAATGTATGTGCCCAAAAAATTCACTGGCACTATTCCGGACCAGTACTATTCAAACAGTTGGAAATAACTTGGAAATTCAGTGTGTACTGTACCCTCCGAAAACACCGGCACTACTTTGCCGGGCACCGGCACCAGTCAACCGGCACTATACAGGGACCTCTACTGTACCCGGAATGTCGAGGAGGTGTGTGCTTTTTTGTCTGTAACGCAGAGGGGCGGAGGTTGTGCGTAGGCCCCGGCGGCGGGTGAGGGTGGGGTTGGGTCGGCGGTGCTAACACTCACGTTCGAGGCAAACACCACTGGCTAGGGCTGCTTCGGATGAAAAAACTTGGCATGTTGTGGTCTTGCCAATTCTGCAACAAGGGTGCACCATGAGCACAAGGTGCCCACGGCAGTGGCGGCGTCGGATAGCGTCATCGTAGTACGATACTATCGGATACCTGGTACATGCTGTTTTCGCTGCCTGGTGCGCCCATTTGTGGCTACCCAGAGCGCTGAACTGCTGCAACTCGGACGCTTCCTGGCCTCCCCGGATACTGACTACGGTTTTCCTGTCGTCGCGGCTCTCTCTCTTTCTCTCTCTCCGTACGTCCATCCGCCGGTGTGCCTGCTGCATCCCATGGCGCAAATCAAACGAAAATAGGGTGTCCAGAATCTCATCCACGACACCAACAAGAAGGTGCGCACGGCGTTCGTGAAGCTGCTGCTGGTGGTGAAGGGGGTCAAGTCCATCAAGTACTACCAGGTGGCAACGGTGGACCACATCCTGGCACGTCTCTCGGAAGATCACGCCAAGTGAGCGGAATGAGGAGTTCTTGTTGGTACATGCAAAGACAGGTGGTTTGGGTGGATGTTTTTTTGTGAGTACCGTGGTTTTGGTCGGAAACCTGCAAGCCCGGGGCCACTGCAGGGGTCTTGTTCTCTTGGTCGAGTTGGTATGTTGCTGGATTGATTGTTGTTGTTTTACGTGTCTTTGGTCTTTGGTCTTGTTCGTGTGCTGTTGTTGTTGGTGTTGGTTGACATGTCTCTGTTGTTCTCTGTCTGCCACCTTGTGTGCCCCGGTGTTTTGCCTGCCTTGCTGCAGGTGTCCCGCTTCCGCTTCGGGACTGTCAAAGCTCATCCTCAACTCCTACTTCCCGACCGGTGAGACGGTGTTCAAAAGCGCTACCGCTGTACACACACGAAAGCGGCAGTGCTGTCGGTCCTCTCGTAGATCTCGTAGACCTCTCAAAATATCAAGACAACACGTCAAGGCAGTCTTGGCCTCACACTGGTGTGCGTCGGAAGACCGGATGAAAGATGAAGGCGTTGGTGACCGTCGATACTGCTGTTGAGTTTTTGTCTACCGGAACGCGTACTTTGTGCGTGCCAAATGTCCCGTCATACGCCATCGTGTCGGTTTTGCTCGTGTAGTTTTTCCCTCCTCGTGTTTCCGTTGCGCTGTTTTTCCCGTTGGCGTGACGTCATGCTCTTCCTCTTGTGAAAGAGCGAGCAATATCCCCATACCGCACGTGCGTACGGTATGCACATGCAAGGAACTCTCGAAGGTTAACAGCAAGTGCTTCGTGTCACACTCTAGAGCAGAAGGAGGACGTACATGTTCTACGGCCTCGACTAGGTGGGGCAAGCAAGCGACAATTATCTATCCCCCCTATGCTCCCGCGGTGTTTGCCATCGGGGTTGGGTTTTCGTCGCTTGGCAACGAC